TGAAGAGGTCAATACTGACAGCACTGACAACTTCGCTTGGCAGTGCATTCTAAGGATGAGCGACACAATTATTGAAGAAATTATTGCAAAAGAGGCAGTTGTTGTCCATTTCATACTGAAAGCGCTTGCGACAATTGTAGCTTGGATGAATGTTTGGTGGATCAACATGCAAGCTAAATGAGTCAGTATTGCTTTTTATACTTTTGTATGAGGCGGCCGCGTAAACGTCTATTTAGTAGAAAGCTAAAGTCGAGTTTGATGTTTTGATCTTTTCTCGTAATCGAAGCGCATTGTTTCGTGCCGTTCTATGACATTTTTATCTTTTTCAAGATGCGGGCACCAGGCAGTGACTGCAAACTCAAGATGTGGCCGTATATACTTCGCGTAAAGTATTTTCTATACTTTGGTGTCTCAGCTGATAAATGTGTTTTTTAAGATTCCATGGACTTTTTTGGCCTTGGCAGCGGCTATTTTTGCTTGCCTCTTTTGCTTTAAGTAGTTAGAAACCTGAACGCCTAGGTCTTTTTTGATGTTGAATACTCGAGTTCTGTTCTAGTGACGCTACTACTTCTAGTGAGGTTAGTTTCATGCTCGTTCATCAAGTAAACGTGTGGGGAAGCGTTGTATTTTCTGAAATGCATAACCTTACACTTCTTGATGTTGAGTTCGATCAACCAGGTTCAAGTCCAGGTGACAATGCTATTTATATTGTGGTTTTGACGACGCTTAGAATTTTAGTATCGTCTGCATACATTTTAAATAAGTTTTTGCTACTGATGTGATGTTAATAAATATTATGAACAGCGTAGGACCTAGCACTGAACCTTGCGGAATGCCACTGGTATTTTTCATCCAGGGGGATAACGTTTACCTAGAAGAACGCGCTGTGATCGATTTGAAAAAAAAGCATTTATCCAGTTTAGAATGTTACTCCATTCCGTAGAATACAAGTTTTTGCGGTAATTCTCTGTGGAAGACTTTATCAAAGGCTTTAACAAAATCAAGAAAAAACAAGTATACTGGAAGCTTTCGATTATCAAACGTTGTATGTCAGAATATCCATGGCTTTAAGCAGATTTGTAACGCAGGATTTTTTATTGATGAAGCCGTATTGGCTATTGGCAATAAGTTTAAGAGCTACAAAGTGCTGCATAACCCTTTCTTTAACCATTTTTTTCATTATTTTGCTTGTTAGAGAGGTAATGGAGATAAGCCTGTAGTTTTCTGGGTCGAGTCTGAAGCCTTTTTAGAACAGTGGTATCGCGTTTGCCGACGGCCACGCTTTTGGGATTACTCCTTGATCTATCGGTTTCTGAAAAATGATGGCAAGTGGGATAGCCGCGGTATCGGCTTTAAGCACAAATGTGCTGATATGGATGCCTCTAGTTAATTTATTGGCGTTGAGAGCAGATAGGGGTGAACGAAATCGTAATTGACGATGATGGAGGAGATTAAAGCGGTTGTACGTTTGACAAAGGGAGGTAGGGGTTGATCTGATGGTTCGATAGCGAATACTGACTGGAACTGGCTGTTAATTATGTTAGCTATGGTTGCCAGCTTGCTAATTATTTCCCCTGAGGGTGAGCACATAGAAGTTATTTGCTTACTGACAGCGCGTTTATTGTTTACATTGGCGTATAGACGCTTAGGGTCTCTTTTATCGTTTGCTAAGTTGTGTTTAAAAGTTTTAATTGCAATGCAGAAAGCATTTTAGACGAGATTTTGAGCTAAATTATACTCTTTGACGAGAAGGACGATTTGCTATTTGCTATTGCGGTTGAGGTACTAAAGTTTTTTCTTACGTTTGATTAGTAAAAGAAGTTTGCTAATGATGAATGTCGTATTCAACATTCATTTCTTTGTATTCTGGATGATTATTGTTTCGTTTATACTTTGACCAAAGTTTATAAAATTCTTAATGATCAGTTTCGACAGCTTTTTCACTATAGGGTGCTAAAGGGGATTCTTTGCGACTGATGAAATCTTTGATGTGGTAGAAGACAGAGTGGTGTGGTGTGGTGTGAACATTATTCAGTAATCATTAAGTAACACCTTCTGAAATTTTCCGACTGTAAGATAAATCCAAAGCAAGCTTTTACAACTAAATTGAAACTTTTGAATGCTTCGACTATCTGAAGAATGTTGGGAACCGAGTTTGTATTAACAAGTTGCTAGAACACATCCACATTTTAAAGAAGCTTCCTGCATTCATTTTTCTCAAATTGACCCACACAATACAGGTTCAGTTGAATGTTGAGGGCAGCTAGCCACTTAACAGCTTCTATTCAAGAAGTTTTAAGTACCTGGAAAAAATGATTGACAACTCCTATAAGATGCAATTCCATCGGTGATATTATTTCCAAATTCAGAACATTGTAGGGCCCACTAATAATAGGCGTTCAATGGAATGAAAATGAAATGACATTGACAAAAAAAACTTTGCTCTAGCAACAACCCCGCTAGATTTTTGAAAAGTCTCAAGGCTTGTCAATTTTGGAGCACTTGATAGTGGCTGGGCACTACTTTGACCTGAAGACAAAAAAAAAACATATTTTATCTTTATATTAAACTTTGTTCAGAAAGTTTCAAATTATTTGTTTTTAATGTGATTAAAAACTTGTTAAAAGTATACTTCTCGAAGCCTATTTTGTCTCTTTTTTTAAAGATTTTGTTTGAGTTGTACATTTGGTTCTTTCTCAATTATGGTTTGCTTTTCAATAGGATGTTTTTCTTTCAGCTTTAAATAACCAATTTGACAGATTAGACAATAATACATCATGTCTCTTATTTCAGGTCTCTTGTTTCTTTTGACAGATTAGACAATAATACATCATGCCTCTTGTTTCAGGTCTCTTGTTTCTTTTGACAGATTAGACAATAACATATCATGCCTCTTGTTTCAGGTCAACTTGTATTGAATAGAAATTAAACAGGTAGTATAACTTATTTTCCTTCTTGTTTCCTGCACAAAATTTTTTTGTACAGTTTGCAGAGTCTTTGTGGTACCCGAGCATCACTAATATTGATCTTTGTCACATACAGTTGGCTTATTAAATCTGCTAGGAAAGTAGTAAGCTGTTTTAAACATTTTTTCGGACAGGGCAAGCACACAAGTTTTTGATTTTCATCGTAAACCTTTGCTTAACTCGCATTGTGGCAATTTACTAAATTCAACTTTACTAAATCAAACGATCCCTTTTACAAAGTTTTACTTGAATTCTCTCTTTCATAAGATTTTCTTCTGACCTCCAAACTTTTTGTTTGCCAATAATTTTATCTTATCTAAATTCTAATAATTTATTTTTGTTGGTATTTTTATAAAAGCTTTTCAACTATTTTTTAACATTTTCATCCATTTTGACATTAGTTTATAGCTTAGAAAATGCTGATATTTTCAAGAAATGCATAGCCAAGTCAAACCACACTTTAAATAGCAAATAAATATTTTTGCCTATAAAATGGAAATGGTAGTTGTAGCAATAAAACAATTATAACAAAAATTGTTAACGTTACGTAGTAGAACACTCATTTAACCACTATTTTAAAAATAGTGACCAAATTTCACAGTAATTGATAACATTTTGAGATCTAAGTAGAAAAAACTAACAAAATATAATTTAAAACTGCCATAAATCCTTAACCAGTTAATCAATTTGGCTGAAATTTTATCCAGAAATTGATGCTATGCGCTAAATTTGCACCAAATTTTGTTTTGTTTTTATTAGCCTACACTAGAATTAGGCTAGATTTATATAAAATACCTACTGCAGATGATATTTTTTATTGAATGTGCTTCTATTCAATATGAATTCTCCATGATTAATTTTCATCATTTTGAACACCAAGAAAGTTTGCTTTTTTTTTTTTCCGTTTTATTGTTATGTTGTTAATGAGCAACTCTGGAATTTTTAACGGTAGAGACATAGATTGGCTTTTTTATGAAATAAATTGTAGTTAGTTTTTTCACAGTTTAGGGATAGTATATTTGGTCTGATAAATAAACTAAATTTTTCCAGTTCAGTATTTATTGTTCAGAACATCGATTTTAAATTAATATGATTATAAAACAAAGTTATGTCATCAGCATACATTATTGAAGATACTATAGATGATGCTATATGCATATCGTTAATGAAAGTTAAAGACAATAATGGTCTTTAACTTTCATTAACGATATGCATATAGCATTATGATTTTTTTCCTAAGATTCAGCCTTGAGGGACCCTATACTCAATACCAAGAACACTTGATTCCTTATTTATTATAAACTGCTTTCTGTTACTCAGTTTTTTTACCTATTTAAAAATTGGCCCTAAGATACCATAACATGTTTTAATTTTGATTGTAAGATACCGTGGTCAACTGTATCAAATGTCTTTGAAAGGTCTATTAAAACTCATAGTACATGTTCTTTATCATAAACTTGAAATAATTTATTTGTAAGTTCGATGATAGCATTCTCTATCGAACAACATTTTTGGAAACCAAATTGATTTTAATATAAAAGTTTGTTTTGCTTCGAGTAATTATAAATTCGATTGTAGAAAACTTTTTCATAAACTTCAGAGAACACCGGTAAAAAGGAAATTGGACGGTAGTTGTATCTGTATTTTTTATTTCATGACGGATTGTTTTTTTTTTGAAATATAATAAAAAACTAACAAAAAAAAAATCAACATGGTATTCTTCATCATAAATATTTAAAGATAAACAAAATATTGAAGTAACACACCTTAAGATGTTTTACATTTGTACCATGTTTTTTTACTTTAGGAAAATTAATAAAAATTTAGGAAGATTAATAAAAAAACCAGAAAAATTGATTTCAGAAAAAAATTTGACTGGATTATCCTATTTTAAATGGCCAAGAATCTTTTTAATCGTAAATCGATTTAAGTAAATTTTTAGAAAATAATTCATAAGTTTACTTAACTTAATTTTTTAAAATCCCTTTTTTATTTTTCAGGTTACAAAAGAACAAAAGAAAAGGGACTGCTAACTATATTTTGAATTACTTTTTTTATTAAGTAATACAATCAAATAACTAAATATGCAAACTATATTTACAGTAAAAAACGCAGAAATAAATATGTTTTATTAAGCAAATGTATATTAAACTTTAAACCAAAATTCCCTCAGCTAAATGAATTACGCCATTTTTTGCAAGTATATCGCCCTCCATTATAAGTACGTCATTGTTTATTCTTAAAGTATTTTCATCTATTCTTCTTGCTGAAATGTTTTCACCCTTTAATGTGCTCATTTTTAGGCGTTGCACTATACCCGTTGCAAAGTTATTTAAATATAAAACTCCAGGCCCGTATACATGAGATCTTAAAAAATGGTCTCGATCTTTTACACCCATTGTTGAAAAATTTATTCCACTTGAAAGTAACACAGAAGTCTTAGGTAGAAACAAAGTGTACAAAAAGTTTGAGTTTAGTAAAGATCTTATTGTTGTGTTGCGAGATATATAAGAAACCATTTGAAATCGCGGATCATTGTCAATGATATCTACTAAAGTTGCTTTGTGGTAGAACAAAACTTTATCAATAACGTGGATGACTGAGTTGTTTGATCTAATGTTAGCAGATATAATACTTGCTGATTGTATAGACAGAACCTAAAATAATCATATATAACTAAAATGTTTATTATGTATGCATGTATATATAGTATGTATGTATTTATGTATGTATGTATGTATGTATGTATGTATGTATGTATGTATGTATGTATATATGTATATATATATGTAAATATATATATGTATATATATATATATATATACATATATATATATATATATATATATATATATATATATATATATATATATATATATATATATATATATATATGTATATATGTATATATATATATATATATATATATATATATATATATATATATATATATATATATATATATATATATATATATGTATATATATATATATATATATATATATATATATATATATATATATATATATATATATATATATATATATATATATATATATAAACTTAGTAAACTTAGATAAAATAATTTTTAAAAATTTTAAATATTTTTTGTTTACTGTTTCTTACATTATGATTTTTTGAGGTAACCAAATAACGAGAGTTCAATGTCGGAATGTTATTAGAATGCAGTTGATCAACTGTATAAATCCCAGGGCAAATATGATAACTCGCAATATCAGTAAGTTTACTTTGAAACAGAAGCATAACTTTTTCTTCTTTAGACAATGATCGAAATGCAGCGTTTGTTGGTGCAAATATAGTTACAATTTTTGCTTTAAGATACAAATTTACAAAAGAGTCACGATCTAACATTAAATCAAGAAAGGAGGTCAATCCAAGTTTACTCAATGTATCAACTGGACTATCATCTAAAAATAATAGAATTCTCCATTAATAGTATTCACAACTCGTTTAAATTATATATGAATACAGAATCCTTAATTATATATCCTTTGATATATTTTTAAATTTACAATTGATATATAATATATAAAAAACCCTCCTGTTTCTCTTGTGCATAATAAATCTCACTTTTAGCGACAATAATAGAATAAAATTTATAATAGCTGCTCCTTTTCTAATAAATAACGCATATGCAACTTTGTTAATTTCTAAACGACGTTCAATCATAGAGATTTTAACAAAAACCGTTATATAACCCGTTAGAGAAATCTTGGCTTAAAAATTACAAGGCCTTAATCACAATTTTAAAATTAAAAAGGAGGCAACCAGCACAATTATTTGAAAAATAAATAGTGAGATGGTGTTGTGAATATAAATTAACATTTTTATTCTTTATAAATAAATATGATTTTCTATAACAATGTTAATAAAAGATAAAGTCTAATAATGTTGATAAGATAAAATAATTTAGCAACCAGAGGTGTGACCAAGTCATTGTTTTACAAGTCTTTGTCAAGTCTTTTCACACAAGTTTAAGTTGAGCCCTAAGTCAATCAAAGCCAGTTCAGTTCATTACTCAAGTCAAGTCTTAAGTCTCTAACTCCTGGTTCAATAAGTAAATTACTAATCATGTATCTGTAATCAACGAAAACCCACTTCATACTTATTAAATAACTTATAATTATAATTATTAAGACATATTAAAAACCTAATTTTTAAATACATGTATAAAACTTATAATGTATATACATGTATTAAATACATGTATATACATTATAAATAATAACTAAATACATGTTTTTTTATGATCAATTACATTTGTAAAAGATCAAATTTAAAAGGCTGTCAGTTATCGAAGTCATAGAAGGACACAGTAAAACCTTTTTTAAAAAAAAAGATAATAATCACGCTGCGTTATTTTAAAAATAAATTGATGTGGATGTGAAAGCCCCTCCGTAAGCTGGGTGTAGGTGGGAACTTCACACCGTATTCCTAAGAGAGACCGCCAGAAAATGTTACGGAATTCGAAAGTACTATACGTGTTTTTTTTAGTGCTATTTTGGCAAAGAAAAAATGGTTTATTGAGAAAAAATGTAAGAAAAACCTATTCTAGCTACCTAGACTACGGCGTGATTTAAATAAAAGCATATTGATGTGCAGAATATGTGGTTTCAATAGGCCAGTGCTACTCATCATACAGCAACAGAAAAAATTCTTTTAAAAGAAAAATTTGGTGATCAAGTAATTTTTCGAAGAGGAACTGTTAACTAACCACCAAGATTATGTCATCTAAAACCATTAGATTTCTTTTTATGGGATTTTTTGAAAAGCAAAGTTTACACTAAGAATTCTCAAATCATTCAACATTTGAAAGAAAAACATAAACAAGCAAATTACTCAAATTTAAAAATTTTACTAAAATAGGCCTGTAGAGCTGCTAAAGGCGGTCACTTATCTGACATTCTTTTCTATTATTAACTACCATGTGTCTGATTTAATATTCAATAAAAATATCTGTTTATATTAAAAATACTATGTGTTTTGTTAAAAAATTAATTCAAATTTAAACACCCTTTATAAAAGTTTAAAAATTTAAAAAAAAAATTAGAAAAAAAGGTAAATTAAAGAAGCAATTCATGATGACATAAAAAATTACATAAACAAAATGTTGCTTTAAAACCTTTAACTGATTATAAAAATAAAGTATTTTATAATTTAAATATTAAGTATCACGCAAATTTTTGTTTTAGTAGATTTGCAGTTAATTTGAGTTTTTCTCATCGGTTACTTATTATATATATATATATATATATATATATATATATATATATATATATATATATATATATATATATATATATATATATATATATATATATATATATATATATATATATATGTATATTAGGAATGTGACATTTTGGTAAATTTTTGGTATCTCCAGTTTCCAGTACAAAAACCAGATAAACTTTGGTTTGAAAATAACTGAAAAGTCATTGCTTTTATTTAATTTTTGAAAAAGTCACCCATTATGAACCTTGATTACACACTTGCTCCCATATATCAGTGAATTTTTTTTTCCTTCAAAAGTTTATCAACCTGGGTATCAAAAGAACCAGAATTTTATAGTAATTTCAAAATTTATTATATATATATATATATATATATATATATATATATATATATATATATATATATATATATATATATATATATATATATATATATATACATATATAATGAATTTTGAAATCATTATAAAATTCTGGTTCTTTTGAGACTCAATGTTTGTAAAAACATATGAACCCTGGCTATTTTTTCTAATGGAAAAACATTATCTAATTTCATGTGTTAGATATTAGTAAAAAGATTATTATTGACGTGACAGCTTGCACAGTTACATTCGTAAAATGTTGTAAAACCATTGAAAAAACAGATAATTTTAATGATCTTAACCAAATGTTGATTCAGTGTATATGAATCAACGTTAATTTAATGTATTCAACTAGACATTGTGAGTAGAAAATTTTATTACTTAAATTTGAATATCAAATCACAAGCAAATCAAATATGATTAATGTTTATGAATTTAATAGGTATGTATGCATGGGCGTCCGCAGGATTTTTTGATGTTTCAGATATGACCCTTTCACGCATAGTACAAACTCTGAACTTAAGTATGTTTAAACTTAACTTAACTTAAGTATGTTTAAACTAAACTAAACTTAAGTATGTTTAAACTTAAGTATGTATGAAAATCCAAATTTCCGTACTCTTCCACTGCAACCATGCAAAGTTTACACCCCCAAAAAACCGAGGGGGTTGTAAACTTTGCATGGTTATAACTTTTGTAATTTACATTATTTTTGAATAAAATTTAAAAATTTTTTACATCAATGCTCTCGCATAAGGGCAGGGTAATGTTTTAGAGTTTTTGGTCCCAGGCCTCCGTCACCTCAATTTTTTGCAAAGCTTTATCATTAGGTATGAATAAACTAGGGTTTGGAGTTTGTACAATATGTGAAAGTGTTATAACTGAAATATCAAAACATCCTGTGGGCGCACATGTATGTATGTATGTATATATGTACTATAGCTACCATCTTTTATTATTAACATAGTCTAACCTCTTAATCTCTTTTAATTTAAATCAAAATAATTTTTTTAATAACATTTTGCTTACCATTCTTGATTGGGTCTAACAAAGAAGCAATGGAATTTTTCATTAATACCACTTTTGGCTTGCTTATAATCTCGTAAGTACTTTTATCATCAACATCTGTTGCACCCTTTGCTATAATTTTTGAAGAGATTTGTTGAACTGCATTTGAAGAGCCATTTTTACTCTTTTTTTTCACTTTGGTTGAATAAAACTCAGAATAATTATTTTGACTGGGCAAACTTTTTAAACCGGAAAGGTTTTTCTCAGGCTCCAAACTTCTGCTCTCTCCATCGAAAACTCGTTTTATGGCATATCCCTAAAAGCACAAAGAGATATTTTGATCATTTTATATTTTTCTTAAAAACATTAGGTAAAAACTAAAGAAAAAACAATAACTACAATAATAACAAACGTAAATAAACGCTGCTTTTGTATAAATAAAATCATATTAAATTCAAGTTTTGTATAAATAAAATCATATTAAATTCAAGTTTTGTATAAATAAAATCATATTAAATGGTGCAATAAAGGGTGCAAGATTAAAAAATAGTGCAATAAGGGATCATTCAAAAAGTACGTAACGGGAAAAAAGAGTATTTTTACTCACCAACCCCCTTGTGTAACGGTTTGTCACCTTGAGTTGATACCCCCTCTTCAGAACGCAACATTTTTTATACAAGACCCCCTTTTGTCCTAAAAAAAAGCAATTTTGTAATGATAATACAAGGACATAATTCTAAAGTGTCCTTTTTAATAAGCAAAAATATATTGCGTTGAGATTGAATTTTGAAATAAAAAAAGATATGTTTTTAAATTGATTTTTGGCTTTAATCCCCACCCAGATTAACATTATCAAAATTCCAGACCATTAATATGATAATTTTGATTAACAGGTTAGATCAAAATTATCCTTTAAATTTGAAATATAGAATTAAACTCGAACCGATTTTACACACACGTTTAATTATTTGGTATGATTAAAAGTGATTTTTAACTAGCCCCGTAAAGCATTTTTTCTTTATGGTAGAAAAATACTAGCCACAGTTTGAAAAAATACGTTGCTGAATCTTGTGTCAAGTTGATCAGAAATAATTGTCTGATGCTCTTTAGAAATTTATTAAATTGATTGTGCATCAAATTATTATAGGATATTATATATTATGGCAAAAATCGTAGAAGAACAACTTTTAAATATGACATTAAAAGCTCAAACTAAATGTCTTCCACAATTTACAAAAAACATTCTTTGAATAAAACAAGGTATACTTTCCATATTTCTAACTTATTACAATTTTTATTTAGTCAGCAAAAGCTAACCTTTAAAAGATAGCCAATATTCCAGAGAGGTGCAAAGTAGATGTACTTGGTTGATAGAAAAGACACACGAAGTACGGCCGATGACACCAGGGAGGAGAGGGGGGCAGGGGAACGTGCCCCCCCCCCCACACTTTTTTTCTATTTTTGAAATAAAATATTGATATAGAGAACTTTTTCACAAATTGATGATTGTGTCCTTCCCCCACTTCAAAACTTGTGTCGTCGGCCCTGCGGACTAGTTATCATTACTGGCTGAGCTGGTATGACATTACCTTTGCATTCCACCTGCAAGAAGCAGTTAAAGATTGTTTTCTCAGATTGACATAATCAGTACTAAATGAATCAACTTAGATCCTGCAACCTCTAAGAAGCTAATCCTCATCAACGTGAACTATCTTCTGGTGGTGCATAAAACAAGATCGTAAACTTGTGAGGAAGGAGAACATATGAAAAAAGAAATAGTGGAGGAGTAGGAAAGAGAAGGGGAGTTAAAGATAGTCAAAGTAGATTCAAAATCCCGACGGGTCTTCTTCAAAAATGTTCATAAGTGTTTATCAAGTCCAATACATTAAAATTAAAAATATGTCAAAAGTATTTAATAAGTCCAATACATATATATTTAAAGTGTTAACTGAGCCCAAAGTATGTTTGAAATTTTTTTCTTAAAAAGTTTTCGTGTTGTTTGGGACAATTTTATTTTGTATTCGAACCTCTAAAGGTCAAATTCCGTTTTTCTACTGGAATGGGATAGGGAAGGGAAAAATAATCACGTGAGCATACGTAGTTTTTCTTTAGATAAACTAAAACTTATACTATTCATGCCCACGTGATTATTTTTCCTTCCCTTTCCCGTTCCCGTAAAAATAAACGGATGAGAGGAAACTCACCTTAAAGAAACAAAGAAAAACGGTTCAACTTAAAGAATGTTTAACTAAAGCAAATTCCTGTTTCGTCAATATTGGCATATATGAGGTACTAATTCGAGTTAAGGCAGTTTTTCTTTGTTCAATACTTAAACATAAACATTAAATATACAGCTTTATACCAACAAAAACGTGAAATATATATATTTCACGTTTTTGTATATACTATATAGTATATACATATACGTGACAAAAACGTGAAATATATATATTTCACGTTTTTGTATATACTATATAGTATAAACATATAGTATATACATATTGTATATACTATATAGTATATATATATATAGTAAAAGAAGTTACGTATTGTATTCATTCTGTACTCTCAAAAGATGACATTAAAAAGATTGCGTCTAAAAGCTAGCCATTGTTTATTAAGAAGTTTATCAAAACTTTAAAATAATTGTTTTTTCACGTTATTTAACTATGACTTATTTAGTAACAGGTTTGTAATAGCACTATTTTACGTCTGATAACTTCTGATTCGTTTAATTTACGTCCGATAACGATCTATTTAGATCAAATTACTCTTCCTTCGCAATAAAACAAAAAAATATAGTAAGTGTTTATTTATGGCTATTGTTGTTTTATATGGAATGACTTCTAAAAAATTTATTATTAAGTTACTTTGATTTTTTAATTTTCAATACGAAAAGTTTGAGCAAAACCGAAGAAATTTACTGAAAAGGGACGAAAAAATGGATTGACTTAAAAACAAAGTTTGAGTTATCCAAGGTTTGACTTAATTGGAGATTTTTAATAGTAATCAAATAAGAGAATTTTGAGAGACCAAATGAAACAGTTTGAGATAACAAAAGTTTGAGTTAACCGTTATTCGATTTAACGGGAATTAACTGTATGATTATCTTTTTACCTTTTTGTCTATCCTTTAATTTTTATCTTAAATTTAATGCAAACTTTAGGGGAGGGGAAAGGGAACTAAAATTTTAGGGTTTATTGTTCCCATTCTCTTATCACTTTTTTTTTTGTGAAGAATCTTTTCGTTATACATATAAAAGTAAAAAAATTTGGAATATTCTTTTTGTTTAATAGTTGGTTATTTCAAACATTTAAAAACCTTCCTATGTTAGTTGGCATACTTATTAGTTGTGGTTGAAAAGACAAATAAGATGCGCTGTTCAATACAAACTGTGAAAGCGAAGAAATACTGTAAAAACCACTATATCTGGTAAAGACAAATATGCTCTGTTTGTAAATTTAGATAAATACATGACAATTAATATTTTGAATAGAGTGATTGTTTATGTCATATTTAAAAAAGCAGAAAATATTTTGCAAAGAAAATCTTTATATAAAAGTCTTAACCTTTAAACTGTTGTCTTTCTCAACTTTTTTGAAACTTTTTGCATGGGTAATAATTGAAAAAGTTAAAAAAACAAATATATTGCTAAAATATATACTTAAATTTATATTTGCTGAAAACCTTTTAGAATACTGGAAAAAATAAAATTTGAATAGAAATAACTGCATAGTGCAGTCATAAAAATAAACACAAAACAACAAATAAACAAATCAAAGAAGGTTTTGTTACAATTTTGTACAGTTACAAAAAAGCGTATCACAGATTTCAATACAAACTTTAAATTGAATTTTTAAATTTAAGCAACTTCAAATTGAATCTTTCTTTGTGCGGTTGTGATAGAGCGCTCGCTTCATAAGAGTGAAGTTCTTAATTCGATACATACCACGCCCGTGGTAATACCGCGCCCAACTTTCAGCACAACGGCCTTGTTCATCAAGGATCGTATTTTGTAGTAAAAGAGTTAAGAGAAGGTTGTGGGCTGGAGTTTAAGAGGTAAGAAAGTAGCCTCCTTGACCTCGTGTAGCCTCTTGTAGTGGCCCTTTTAGCATTAATGAGGCGAATAACATTTTAAAAAAGTTCAAAATTAAACAAAGAAAAGAAATATAAATAAAGTGTCTAGACCTATAAAAAAATAAATAACCTGCTTGTTTTCTAAGTATAATTAAGCTTACTTATTTTTTAGAAGGACTATTTTTTTGTACTAATAACACGTTAATTTTTTTATGCTTTGTACTAAAAACATGTCAATTTTTGTTATTAGCCATCATTCGTTTTTCTTACTTTACTTACCTTTCTAATACCGCGGCTGAATATAGGTAATGAAGATTTTTTTTTGAAAAAAAAAAATAACTTCATTGACTGTAACTTGTTCTGACTTCATTGACTGTACTCAAAAACCTCAATCCTTTAATTTTAAATACTAAAAAAAAAACTGACACTTTGATAAACCTCCGCGTTGAAAATAAGTTGAGCACCGTCCAACCACAGAGTGGTGGAAATCGAAAATCGATGAATTGGTTTCGCCTGTTAAAAAAAGGGTAATCAATAGACTCTTTGCTCTAGATAAGAAGACTTGAGTAGAGCCTTTTTAAAAAAAGTTATTGTTATGTACATGGATCAACCTGACACTCTTACTTTCAAAATTTTCGCCACGATTTGTCATTAAAAAAGGTAAATACCCATTATTTTCGTTACGTACTTTTTTAACAATCGTTCATTGCATTTTTTAAAACACTTTTTTATTTCATTGTTGCAAGCCTTTAGTTAATGTATGCTTAATTACCGAGAAGATAAATTAGTTATTCGTAAAGCTAAAAATAATCTGCTTATCTCGTGCAACACTATTTTAAAAATTTAACGAAAAATGAATTTTCACGTACGAATACACGACGCTTAATTCTCTAATCGTAGGTAAGGTAAAAAAAAAATAGAAAGAGTCTTATTATAAATATTCTCCATGGAAATTTAAGAAATGGCGCACAGTGGACAGACGAATCTAAATTTAGTAATTTTAGATTAGATTGTAAGCAGTTTTCCTCAGACCACTTAGTAAAGAGTTTGACCCACATTAAACTAAAATAATAGTGAAATTTGATGGTGGAAACATTGTGGCGTGGTTATGTTTCTCGTTAAATAGTAGTGGTTCTATTTATCTCAAACGGACATTATCAGAATAGATTCGGATAATATGAGCATTTTGGTAATATAAGACATGTTGAAAGATTTTTAAAATGTGTGCAATAAAGTTCG